TCCCACATAGATATTAGTTTATTTATAATTTTCTCCAACACGACTAAATTATTGGCGACAACAGCAATTTCTTTATTGTGAAGTGCCACATAATTTTTATCAAGAAAAGTCGAATATAATTTCGTAGAAAAGAACTTCGCTTAAGAAGGAGGGTATTCATTTAGATAGGATAAATTAGTTAATTAATAAAAATTAAGTTTAATTATATATGTGCTATCTTTAATTATAAAGTGCTATCAAGAGAACTTGTTTTGGTGTGTCGCTTTTGTTAAATTGACTTAAACAAAACTTCACAACGAATGTTAGTGTAAATTCTAGACTATAGTCTTAAAAACATAGAGTAAAGATGATTTATACGAATGTAAATCTAATAGATTTAATACTTATATGTTTTTTTGTCTCGGAAAGTAATCGTTTATTTTTTTCATTCATTTTTCAGAAGAAAAAGGTTTAATACATAGATTGATAATATCTTCATCTACTATAGTGTTTTGGACAATAAACATTTTTTCTATCGAGCTTTTATGGAAACTATTAAAAAATCAATATTGACAACTGTTTATATATATATATATATATATATATATATATTATTACTTTATATTATCAAACACTAGATATGTCATGACTAATAAATTATTTTCATTGTTCACGATGAAGTATAAGTTACTGATGAAATTTATGGACAAATGTAATTGCTTTTTGGTTAATCACATGCAATAACCAATAACAACCAAATCTGAAATACCTTAAATTTCCAGAATGAGTGTCCTTTTCTGAAATATATATATATATATATATATATATATATATATATAAAGTAACACTATTTTACCAACGGGTAGAAGAACTTTAACAATGAAAATGTAAGGATTTTATTTTGTTACAATCATTTATATACAGAACTAAAACTCTCGTTAGGTTTTCGAAATTTTTTCAATTGTGAAATACACATGAATATTTCTCAGGCTAGGTGTGAAAGTCAAGTTAAACTCTGGAGGATGGTATGTGTTGTAATTTAATGTATCGATAAAAAAAAAAATTTCCTTTACGCGTTATTCATATTCTCTATTTACAGATATACTGTATTTATTTATATCGGAATTCTTATGCACACACACACACACACACACACACACACACACACACACACACACACACACACACACACACACACTAAAGAAAGACTGCGCCTACAACAGAATTCGAAACTATAACATATCGGTGGTACAATCATTCTTCCCTGGGGCTTCTCAATCTATGCCGGTTGTTATTTATTTTTCTATTAAAGAAAATAAAGAATACTATAACTATGAATAAAAATAAATAATATATATATATATATATATATATATATATATATATATATATATATATATATATATATAGATAATATTAGTGGAAAATATACATACATATGCAAAATATATAAATACCCATACATGTATATTTTTAGAATAAAATTCCAAGAGGAAGAATCCAGGTAGAACTCAATGTCTAGGACAGAGTAAGGATATAATAAAAACTTAAATTAATATTCCATGGTCATAATTTATTCCATTGGAATCGTAAATACGATCAATTCATCAGACATACAAATTCAAAATTTTGAATTTGTAGGTCTGATGAATTGGATCGTATTTACGATGGAATAAATTATGACCATGGAGTATTAGTGTTTAAGCCTTTTTATTATATATATATATATATATATATATGAATAAAATTTGATAAGAGTCAAAATCTATTATTAGCCGACGCGCCCCTCCGTTTTTTCTTCTGTCTCTTTTTATTCAATTTGTCTCTTCTACAGATACATTCATTCTGAGAATATATATATATATATATATATATATATATATATATATATATATATATATATATTTATACCCACATAGAATGAATAAAAAATGTTTGAAGGTAAATATATTTTCCACCACCCTATTCGTCACAAATTTTGTATATTTGCTTTCATTTTAACTTATCCCGACCATATCGATGACGATATGAGTAAAAAAAAATCTTTTAATTCATATGAAATATAGAAAATAAAATCATATGTATCATATTTTACTTTTTTATTTATATGAATTTTTTCATTTGTAGCAACAACACTTTTACGTGATGCAAAAAATAACTCTTGTTTTATGGAGTAAAATATACACTTTGAAATTCTAGGAAAAATTTCTTTAATAGTTCTTATATTCCTATTCTTATAAACAAAAGTTAAAGTCTGATAATATTGCCAATAGATGTAGATATTAAAAGAAACGAACATTCACTTGGCCTGTTTCTTTTATAAATATATTTTAATTTTCTGTGAAACATATTGATATACATAAGTAAAATCTTTTCAACTTGTTTTCGCGTTTTTGTTTTTGTTTTATTCTGTATTTTGGTTTACATGTTTTCCATTTTTGCTCTTAGGGGGTCAGCCTTGTCTTGCCTTTAGACGTGAAAGCAAAGATTTGTGGAAAGCTTGTCTGCTCCCTCGAGATCACAAATTCAGGACAACATCTCATAAATGCACTAAAAGAGGAGAGCTGGATTTGTTTTGATGCCTTTGCGGCAGAAGCGGCGGTGCCTGGGCAATTATTGGCTTTAACCGCGCATAGAACGTATAGGGCCTCATTCTGAACCCAACTGTCTGACATATTTACTTTTGTCAACAGGCGCATAAATACGAATTACTCTTCCCTTAATTTTTCTTGTCATTCGGAATGGAAACTTTTTACAACTATTTTTTCCTTAAAACGTAGATTTTGAGTTATATTTTTAAAAGATAAACATTGCTATCAGTTTTATGTGATTATTTATTGTTTGTTTTCCTTCCTTTACTTTTGAAATCTCAAGAACTACTACAAATTGTCTTTGATTAACTTAACAATATTATTAATTTTGGGTTCTGAAAAATGTTGGATATACTAAGTGTTTAATGAAGTGTGTGATTGAAATTTTTTCTATTCTCTCTTTAACTAAGAGTAAAATGTCTTTTAATTTGAAACAGTGCAAGGATGCAGATTCATGCCTTTCTCAAGAGCATCACAATCAATTGAACACAAGCAGCTTCTGTCAAACTTTGAATACAGTTTTCCGAGATCGATTTTCATACCTCCAATATCCGTTTCATGAACTAAAAGTAGATAAGATATATATATAAGATTTATATATATATATATATATATAAGATTTATTTTATATATAAGATTTATATATATATATATATATATATATATATATATATATATATATATATATATATATATATATATACTTTACTATATCTATATAACAGGTAAGAATATGATCGATTCACACTTCATTCATTATTTTATTTTTTTGCTTACTTCAGTATGAAGATATTCAAATAATGGTAAATTTTTACTATCCCGACCATTCTATATTTTCCCATTGTATATATCTGGATATGTACTTTACCGATTTCTATTACTGAACTTTAAAGACTCACGTTATGATGTCATGGAATCTTTCTTATTTTTTGTTTTGTTGTTTTTCGAAATTTGATTTTCCTTTCTTCGAAAATTTTTTACAATATTTTTTTAATTTAGTTTTTATTTTATCTCCACATTATTTTTGTTTTATACTTTAAATAATTTGCTTTTCTCGAAAATATTTTAGTATATTATGCTACTTTTATTCATATTTTCAAAGTATGTCGTCTGCATTTAAGTAATTTTATAAAAGATTTGGTTACATCTTCTGCATGAATACTGTTGAATTTTATCCATACATTTAACTCTAATTTCGCGTGTAAGTATAAAGTCCGTTTTCGAAATTATAAAAAATAAAAAAAAACATCCAAGGAAAACTAGCACGAAGCAAAATAAATTAAATGCAATGTTATTATTCTGAGCTTCCCTAATTTCTAAGATATTTCCTTGTTACGATAATACATGTTCACTTATTAATATTTACTGCTAACAATCTCATTAGCAACTAGAAGTGATCAGGCTGCATGTGTGATAATTTTTTTCTTTATTTTTTCCTCTTTAAAATGTTTCTTTTTTTTATTTTCTGTTAAGATTAGTTTGGTTTTTACTTTTCATCTTACCTGCACAATTTTTATCCTTCTGATTGAGTCATCTATTTTAATCTGTTCCTATTTGTCGATAATTCATCGTCGCCGTAGCGGTAACCATTACTTGATTAACAAATCTTTTAATGTATTTCTCTTTGGAAATAAAGAATTGTTTCATAGTTGTCAGACTAGTTTGATAAGTGATAGATGAAGTCTTTAAATCATACTGCTTCATGATATTATAGCCGTGCCATCATCGCATTGCCTTTTCAATGATCTTGAGCGTTTCTTTCATTTCCGACTCTTTCAATAACTTTGGAATATCGTTAATCATATTCCCATTAATTCTTCTATATTCCCAATCTATTCAGGATATGGACAATTATGTCTCTCCTCAAATTCCTGTTCCTTGTAACTCTTCGAAAGGTTTGTCTTTTTGCTATAGGGTTAATTCTCTCTTCAATTGTTAAGGAGTTTATTTGCTGTTTCCCTCTGTGCATATAGATTTTAATAGGACTTGTGCCCGTTAAATTTTACAAGTCCTTTATCTTCATTATGTGCCCTAAAAATTGTTAACTTACTTTTCAGATTCTAATTATAAGCGTCCGTTTTGTTTGTATTTTCATTAAAACTTCGACATTACACACAGTTCATGGGTTCTCAGTATGCTTCTGTAGAACCAAATTTTTGTTGAATATAATTTATTAATCAGTGAAGATGTTGCCTAAACGCAATCATCGGGCCTGATGATTGCTTTTCTCATTCAACAGACTCTCGCCTCTGGATGTTGACTTCAATGCCCACTATATATATATATATATATATATATATATATATATATATATATATATATATATATATATATATATACTGACCATGTTTCTAACTCACTCTCGCATTCATTACTCTTTTCTTAAACAAAGGCAAAGTTTGTGTGATTTTCTCTCTCTTTCTCTCAATCATGAGGATTAATTTATTTTCCTCTCTCTCTCTCTCTCTCTCTCTCTCTATCTATCTATCTATCTATCTATCTATCTATCTGTCACTCATGGTTATCACATTTCCATTCAGTCACTCTATATCACCCTTCTCTATCTTCCTCTAGGTTTCCTCCCACACAATTTTGGTTATTATTTTGCTCACTAATTTTATTTTTAGTGCATCTCTCACTCTCTCTCTATTTCCACACACACACACACACACACACACACACACACACACACACACACACACACACACACACACACACACACACGCACGCGCCCGTGTGTGTCACTCACTTTTAAGCATTATGTTCTTGTTCGCTCTTTATTTTCTCTTTGTTGGTCACCACTTTAAATTTTAGTCATCTCTCACTAAGTTTTCTCAGTTTTCGTGCCTTAATCTCTCTCTCTCTCTCTTTCTCTCTCTCTCACACACACACACTCCCAGAGAGAGAGAGAGAGAAAGACGGAATTGGGCAACTCGACCTATGTAATGGTTAGCAAGCTAGAACAATTACGATTGACTAGTGAGTTCGATCCTCATTGGGTGCCCCATATATTCTGTCTTGTGTCACGTCTAATCTCCGCTTACAAAATCACCGTTGACACACATAATTTTTTCTGTCTGTTTCCCTCTTCTGTTACACGCACACTCCTTCTCTTGACCAAAAAAACTTCCCAGATTTTATCTCTGCTCATCTAATCAGTCACCATTGCTTCTCTTCTCTTTTCGACTTACTGTAAATCACAATCGATACTTAATTCTCAGTTCATTTAAATTATAACTTCTTCTTCCCCCCTTAAATTTATAGTGTTTTTCTTCTCTTTCACTGTTAATTTACTTTTTAACACCTCATAAACAATATTTCATCTTCGTTCCTTTAGTAAAGTTGTATACTTTATTAATGAGCAACAGATAAAAACGTCATTGAATGCTGAACGGCCAAGATTTGTCAATTGGCGCAGATTGTTCCGAATAGAAAAATTAGTCTTCTCACTTTTTTAATCGATTAATTTGGTAATCTTTTCTTATTCTATTTATTTCTCCTTTCTCTTTTTCTTCCCTTTTTATTTTCTTCTGCTGTGAATTTTATTATCTAGCCAGGTTTATTTTCACCTTATTTTAATTTTTTTTTTCAATTTAATGTATTTATCTTTGTATTTTAATTTCCTTTCAGCTTTTATTTGCTCTTTTTATTTATTTTGGTTTTTGTAAAACTGTTTTATAAATCTCTTGTTTTTTGTGTTTTTTTACTTTCGTTTTTTTTTTTATTCTGTGTTTGTTATTTTCTTTGCAAGTTTTCATCCATATTTTCTGATTTTTTTTCCGTTTTATTCATTTAATCTTTTTTTACCCTTTTTTTCTGGTTGATTTCTGGGCTAAGATTATTTTTTTCTAATTCATTCTGATAGTTTTCGATTTTAAATTTTTGTCTGTTATTTGACAGTCTATATTCTCTCTTATCATCATTTCTCAATTACTTTTCGTCTTTTGCGTTTTAAAATTATTTTTTTTTATTTCCTTCTTTATTTTTCAATTTATTTCCCGCTCTTTCACTGTTCTTTCTTTTAACTTTCTGTTTTTTTTTTTTTTTGTTTCTTTCATTTTTTTTTTTCTTTCTTTTTCTTTCTTTCTTTTTACTTTCTTTCTTTCTTTCGTTTTACGTTTTTTTCCTTCTTTCTTTTCATTTTTCTTTTTTTCTTTTTTTCTTTTTTTTTTTTTTTTTTCTTTCTTTCTATTTCGTTTTCTTTCTTTCCTTCTTTTTCGTTTTTTTCTTTTCTTTCTTTCTTTCTTTTTTTTTTTCTCTTTTTTTGCTTTCGTTTTTTTTTCTTTCTTTTTTCTTTCTTTCTTTTTCTTTTTTCTTTTCGTTTTTCTTTCTTTTTGCTTTCTTTCTTTTCTTTCTTTTCCTTTCTTTTTCTTTCTTTCTTTTTTTTTTTTTCTTTCTTTCTTTCTTTCTTTTCTTTCTTTCTTTTCTTTTTTTTTTTTTTTCTTTCTTTCTTTCTTACTTTTGTTTTCTTTTCTTTCTTTTTTCTTTCTTTTTACTTTCTTTCTTCTTTTCTTTCTTTTCTTTTTTCTTTTTCTTCTTTCTTTCTTTCTTTCTTTCTTTTTTTCTTTCTTTCTTTCTTTCTTTTTTTTCTTTTCTTTCTTACTTTCGTTTTTCTTTCTTTCTTTCCGAAACTTTCTTTCTTCATTCTTTTTTTTTCATTCGCATTTTTTCTTACTAACCTTTCTTTCTTTTTTTCTTTCTTTCTTCTTTTCAACAAGAAACTCACCATTTTGCTGTTTTTCTCTTTCAACTTGATTCCTAAACTTGTTTTCTTTCTTCACTTTTCTCGAAAAGATTTTCTTCTTACTCTTTATTCATTGTTTGGCATAATCCCTTTATTTTGGCGCATGAACTATAAATAAAGTCCTGACCTAAAACAACCTGATTGTATCTATGGGCATCCCCACGGGAGAGCAAAATTCCTAACCATTGACGAGATACGCAGGAATTATCCTTACAACAAACAGTTTTCCTTTGAAGACTTAGAACGGTATTTCATTTCTTTAATCAACACAATCATACATTCAGTTGAGTTTCTGATATCAGGTATTTCTTCATTCAAATTATTTGCGTATTCGATCTGGCGACGTTATGATTTCGTTATTGGTTCATTATATATTGGCCTTCCTCTGAAGAAAGACTGTTTTTCTTGTATAAACATCACTTAGAATATCTACACTAGGTTGTAAATATCCTAGAAACATCCTGTGCAATCTTCTCACATATTTATAATATTAATAGAGGTTTAAGAAAAATTCATATGTAATAAATTTCTTCAAGTTCTTAAATAAAAAAAATTATTTCTCGTATATATATATATATATATATATATATATATATATATATATATATATATATATATATATAAAGAGAAACAGGCGGAAAAAACTATTCTTAGCGGACGCGTTTCGTCCTCTGACAGGCTATATCTTGATAAAGTCACTAACATGGTGAAACGTGTCGACTAAAAATTGTTTTAGTCTTTTCCTCTCTTTTTTAATCATTTCGTAAATTTACAGTCTATAGAGTGTGTCTGAAAATAATTGATATATATATATCTATATCTATCTATCTATCTATATCGATATATATATATATATATATATATATATATTTGGCGGCGTGTGTGTAGTATATGTAAGTAACAATCATTTTCACAAATAACTTTTGTTAAACTTAACCGATGAATGTCTGTTGAAATGTCACTTAAGAATGCAACAAAGATTAAACAGACATTCATTATTGTTTGAAATTAACAGTTTATTTCACACACACATACACAAAGAAAACGCGCATGCATGCATATATATATATATATATATATATATATATATATATAGAGAGAGAGAGAGAGAGAGAGAGAGAGAGATAATAAGTGAACTTAGATGTCAACGCTCAGAGGCGACAGGCTGTTTCATGCTAGACGCAATCGTCAGGCCATGAGTCTGAAGAATGCGTCTAGCATGAAAAGGCCTTTCGCATCTGAGTGTTGATTTCTATGTTCACATTTATATCTATATTTATATACGCTCTAACTATGATATTGAACACTTTATCCCATAAATATAGCACACACCTAAAACTATATATATATATATATATATATATATATATATATATATATATATATATATATATATATATATATCACACACACGTGTGTGTGTGTGTGTAGTTGGTAATTTAGTAATTTTATGAGCAAAAATGCTCAGTATCGAGAATAGAAGGCTTGTAGATATAAAGTGCCTGCAGAGATATCAACACTGAATCGTGACTGGCAATTTCAAGCCTCAGGCGCCCTCAAGATATTGTCTGATTATCATAGAAGGTGTGAAATTGACAGTCACCATGAAGGCTGATATCTATGTTTACACTGCACCTCTCTTTCTCTCTCTCTCTCCTGTATGTATGTATATATATATATATATATATATATATATATATATATATATATATATATATATATATATATTGATATCCACTTATTCTTGATGTCGCTTGAAAACCCCAAGTTGATATACACTGTTACGGATTCAGTATTGCCTGAATGTTTTATACACATAGATACATATCTAATTTAACACTTGATAAATATTATAGATATGGGAAAACTTAAACATAAGTTTACTTTACGGAATTTTGATTAGGGAGCGTGTAGGGTGAAAGGAAGTGAACCAACGATGGATTCTTCTTCATAATTTGACAATACATAGATAACATTCGTGAAAAACAAAAGGAAATCACATATTTCTTAAGACATTTTCCTGTAATTTTTTGTTTCGTTTCATTAGTTATTAATGCAGAATAGTATTTAATGAATGTTAATAAATATAAAAGTCTGATGAAACAAGCAGATCAAAAGGATTTGACATGAAAAAAAAAACAAAAAAAAAACTAAGGACGATCATGTGAGCGTAAAAGAAGAAAGAGGAACATTTACTTTTCTATTTTAAAGTCGGATTACTGATGTTTTTAGTCAAAGATTCAACTGAGAAAAATATATTAAAGTCGTTGAATAGATACCGTTAAACATGAACGTGAAAACTCTGTGATAACTTCGTTTGAAACTATTACTTTGCTTTCTAATGACGTAGATTTTATATATTTTCCTTAAAAGCAATCCGATAAGAATATTCAAAAACAGAATTTAGACAAGAATGAAATTATATACACAAAAGCGTGCTGAGCACATGACACTAAAAATATTATTGCCTGGGAATATTTATCCTCCGCTTGATCAATCCAAATTCTTAAATAATTACATTAGGTATAATACAATAAACCTGACAAGAAGACTCACTTTACATTTCTCTGATCATAGCTCAATTAGTTCTCATTGAAATACACAGAGAGACCTACTAAACTACAAAAGCAACACACTCGTTGACAATACTATAACAGCTTTATCCACATGTAAAGAAGGCTAAAATAATGAAAGCATTATTGATAAAAAAGAAATGGGCAACACAATCTGCTGACAGTTTTTAGAAAATAAAACTTTCTTTCAACTCTAGATACATACATGAAACTATCGTTACATTCCGTTAAAAGCAAAAATAATACCATAATAATGTTGATAATAGATAAAACAATAGCTGAACTCCTTCGGGTATATATATATATATATATATATATATTATATATAATATATATATATATATATATATATATATATATGATTTATTAAATCTATTCTTAAAGAATATTTTCTTTCTCTAAAACAAACGGTAAAAACGTACCCAAATCAACATGCCAAAAGCCATCAAACATCATGTTTGCTAGATACACACACACACACACACACACACACACACACACACAAAAATACTTACGAATTTACATTATCAACTGAATCACACAAAGAAAAATAACATTATTACAGACTTATAATAAAGCAATTATACGGGTTTTCGTTCGGCTTTGAATCTGTTGTCGCACCTTGAATTCAGAACTCTACGTATTATAATTACGTTTGTTTAACAAGTTGAATGCACATAAAACATGATTATCTAATAAGAATCAATCAGCACAAGCGTAAAAAAAATGCAAGAATTTATTTCAGCATGTTCTCCATATCTAATTCTCTAACGAAGCTTTTATAAATACGAAACATGTTAGATTAATAAACATTCTGGTTACTATGCTCGCATGTTAATTTTGTTCAGTACACCTGTATATGCTTGAACACAAAACATTTAGTGATTTTCTAAGCATAGCATAGATGTGGTATGGGACCGCAAGTAAGAGCACCCAGCAAAGATCTTATTTGCTATTAAGTTGTAACTGATCTATGTAGAAAACTACCTAATCATTAAACCACGTCAATATGCCCGTCAATATAAATATTTACATGCTTCTGCACAAAGGAGTATATATTTATTAGTATGCTTCTGCAAATCCTTGATCGATTAAAAGATTTAATCCCACTTCGATTTACTCATTAACAGCGATAGAAATAGTCGTCATTCCTTTAGGCTACTTTATCGGAAATTTCTATTATCTGTAATTAAAAGGGTGATCATTTATGACCCTACTCCACACCGAATGTCTTATCATTACGCATTCTAGGGAAATGTGTATGATAAACAAAATTACAACTGAGAAAGAATTTTGACGTATTCGTGGATATTTCAAAATAGTCCCATCCATTTCATGTTCTCTTGGCTGCTGTAAAGGATACACATTGACAGTAAGTTCCATGCTTAAATGAAATTTTCATATTTGGTGTTATGACCGAATGCCCATTTGCCAGGGCTTGTAAATGGTAGACTAAGTCAAATTTGGCGCAATAAAGGTCGTCAATTAGGATATTGATAATGAATCGGTATATATGAGTTCTTACCACATTCACAGTTCCTTCTGACTAAGAAATATTTGACTGGAAACCATTCTAAAAACATTCAGTAATCATTCACCGAATCGTTAGTCTTACTGTCGGCTGAAATAGACTAATGTTTTCTCTTAAAACATATCTTTAGTAAGGTAGGCTTTCCAATTTTACAATTTTAGCACTGATTGGGGTTTATTTGTGATATTTTTTTAACCTAGGTTAGGGTGGAAAGTCATGTTCCCTTTATGTACACGTGCTATCAATTTTAGCTATTGCTTCTGTTAAATGTATTCAGTGGATATGATATTTGATATATGGTAAGGTGATTCGTAATTCTACAGTAAAATTCTTTGGGTCCTGTCACTGGATCTAACTAACACCTTTATCCACTGTGCCATGTGTCCGTGATCCCCGGTTAAGGAGTGTGGAGAATTTAGAGAGGGGAATTAACAATAGATAACTGATAACTGACATCCATTAAACATGGTACGTGGAACTAAAACAGTCTACTCCAGTGAGCGAAATAAAGGTTTCAGTTCGACATTCCAATCACCTGAAGAAGGCCGGAGCGTATAACGGCCGAAACGTTGTAATAAATATGGCGACAATGATGAGGACAATAGTCCGAATAATGTAAATAGTGTAGAATAAAAATATAGTAAAGTAAAATCATTCTCAATTTTCAATGGTTGTTCGATTTTTTTACTTAATTTTGCAATAGGCTTAGCTTAGTTTGGCACAAGGCGATGCCCATAGAAATCTCAATAATGACTACATTTAATAGCAATGTCGAATTAGATCAGCAACCTACCGCGAGGAACGTAGATATCATCTTATTAATTTATCTGAATAATAAAAAAGGTTACATTGAAAGAGAAATTTTATTTCATCAGTTCCCCGAGGAAGAGTCTCTCCAGGAATTCAA